ACTGCTAATTTGAGAGTATGCTGGTGATGTGGCAGGCAGATGGGAGTGACACAGTGGTTAACATGGTGGGTGAGCTATAATTTGTGTGTTGAGGGGGCAGGGGGCATGCTATAGGGCATAGCAACGTGACAGTCCCCAGAAGGCCTTGGGCTGCTTGCTAAGTCCCAGCAGCTGAGCTGACTTCAGCTGTGTGAAACACAGCCCCATCTGGAGTAGGGGTGGCTCGTGACTTTTGCTCCAAGAGTTCCATAGAGGCTGCTCGTGAAATTGGAGAAGCCTGTAGCATATGATTGTCCCCATCCCACTCAGAGAGCATATTTTGAGAAGTCTAATTATATGGTGGGGTTTAGAGGGAAGCGGGCTTAGATAAGCCCTTTCTGAGGGCAGGTTGGAAAGGGCTGTTAGGTTGCCCGGGGCAGTTCCGTGGGGTGAGGGTGCCCTCTGCAGGTGGACCAGAGTGGCTGCAACCACTGTTTTCCCACTACCCTTGGGTGCCTACCCACCACACAGCTGTCTCCCTAAATGAAGATGCTGACCACCTAGCTGTGTGCCTTAAGGTGAGCTGTGGATCCTCCTGAGGCTCAGTTTCCTCAACGGTGGACGAAGGACAAAAATCCCTACTTTGTGGGGGTTGCTGTAATGATTAGAAAGAGGAAATGTACCCGAAGTGCTCTGCAGAGGGCCTGGTACGTACTAAGTCCTCCAAAGGCGGCAGCTACGCTCAGCAACAGCAGCCCCATCATCACAGTCACCGGCACCTTGAACACTAGCAAAGATGACCACCGAGTGTCTATCTTTAGACCACGGAGTGTCTAGAGGGAAAAGGGCTTCTCTGAGAGCAAGCACAGGCAGAGTTGGGGCAGGGACGGGAGGAGACCTGGGCCGGGTGACCAGATAGCATTTTGATTTGGCAACTATGTCTATTCCAATTCTTGAAAACTGTTTCATCTACTCTTCTCCTTAGAGCCCCACAGCTGAATTACTCTGCTCTCTGGAAGAAAAATCCCCCAGCCAGAGAGCTGGGATGTGCTTGGAGGAGACAAGATGTTTGCAAATCTAACGGTGGTGACGGGCCTGCTTGGATTGATCCACAGAGGGGACTCTTCTACAGCTGAAGGGAAGGAAGACGACTTTTCCTTCTGTCATGACTCAGTCCCCAGCCTCACTGAGGGTCTCCTGCTTTCTCCCCTCCCTGTAGTTCAGGGGGCTGGACCAAAGGGAGGTCTGAGCTGTGATCACCAACCCCCGCAGCCCTCTGCCCCCACCCCTTCCTCCTGCATTCCTGCCACCCAGGCTCACTCCTTTCTCCACTCTGGTCCCTGAAAAATCACCCAAACCCCCTAGATGTACCCTAAAAGTTCTTTAATGCTAGTAACTCTAGGGAAACAAACAGGGGTCAGCAAGACTATGATAAGATGGAGACATTACAAAAAAATCATCAACGAGGAGTCCTCTCTGGTCTTCACCAGGACAGAAAGGAACCAGAGTGATGGCTCCCTGACCCCTTGACTGACTCAGCCTCTCTGGGTTTTCTTAGAGAATATACTGTCTTTACTTAAAATTTGTAGATTTTATTCATCATGGATTTTTTTTATTTTTATTTTTTTAATATTGCATTAAAATATTATCTTAATGACGGAGTTTTTTTGATCCTCTTCAATTCTGTGCACTCACCTTGCCCTAGTCCTGGCCCAGATATTAAAGCTGCCTGATCTCCACTGGGATTCCTCCTCCCCTAATCACCCACCCCCACCCCCAGCCTCTCCTTTCGCCTTCTACAAGGAACAGGGACAGCTCATCCTCTGTTTTTATTTACTCATTCATTCAGCCAACCAACATTGACCGCCTATCCATTATCTGCTAGGTCCCAAGCCGTCTTTGGAAACAAAGATGAATTTGTTCTTTCATTATTTATTGGTCACCAGCTATGTGCCAGTCACTGTGCCAGGCTCTGGGGACGCAACAGTAAACATAGATAGACAGAGTGCTTGACCTCTGGTGTGAGAGGTTCAGGCAAAAAAAATATTCATAAAGAATTAACAACAAACTTGCAGAAAGCAATAAGTTCTACAAGGAAAATAAAGCGAATAGGCCATGTGCTCAACATGCCCATGGTCTGGGGAGACAGACATATAAATGAGTCATTGTTAAACCATTAGGCATGATGTGCACTGATAACGGATACAGAGGATGTTTTGATAGGGGTGGTGAAGGGCTGATTTCCTAAGGGGGGAGAAAGTTGGAACGGAATCCTAGATGACGAGGAATTGACCAGGTGGAAAAGGAGGACCGGGCACTCCACATCTAAAACATCGAAGTAAGCAAAGGCATGGAGTTGAGGAACAAGGAGGGGAACAGAGCGGGTTTTATCACAAGGAGAGATGAGAGTGGAAGGGCCAGTTGGGGGGGCCAGTCCTGGAAGCCTTGGAGGCTATTCTGGGAGTTGGTGATTGGTTGGATGTGGCAGGGAGAACACCAAGGACCACACCAGGTTTCTGGCTTGCAGGTTAGGTAGATGGTGGTGCCAATAAGAGGGGAGCTGTGAAGTCAATGTGAAGGTGGTATGTACAGTTGGGGGCAGGGTGAGTTTTAGAGGTCATTGGGACACCAGACGGAGATGCTGAGGAGACAGCTGGACAAAGGGAAAGGGTCAACCAGAGAGATAGGAGAGAGCTACAGCCCATTGGTCGAAAGCAAAGGAAATACTGAATTCTGGATGAAAAGGCCCCTGAGTTCCACCAGAGGGATTAATTGGGTGAGGTGGGTTTTTATCAGAGACAAATAAATTTCCCTAAATCCAACTCTCCTTAGCTCTCTGGCTGCAGGGAATCCAGCCAGGTTGCCTTAAATCACAAGACACTAGAAATATAGTTCATTGTACAAACGGCAGTTGATATAATGCAAGGCTTTTTGGTTTGAACTTTTAATTCTGGACTTGATTCCCAGAACTTCTCATTATGCAAAGACAAAAATGTCTATAAAATGGGGACAGCTATTCCAACCCAAAAGGGTGGTTACGGAGACTAAAGAAGAATGCTTATATAAACAGTCTTTAAACAATTTGTAAGTGATGAGGTTCAGCATAAACGTAAAGTATCTAGCAGACTGGTAAAAAGCAATACTTCACTAGCTAGACAAATGGAAACAAACAAACAAAAAACCTTGGGTCTTATCATGAGGACACCTTGGGAAGATATGTCAGGAACAGGCCATGAAAACCTCTAAGTCCTTCTGCAGCTGTGCCTTTCTGGAATCCCAAAGTTCAGGGCGGAGGTGCAGCTGCCCAAGAATTTATTCCTCCATAACTTTGAGCTTCCCAAATCCCCATGAAGCCCAGGAATGATGTGACAGCAGGGCACATGGGCCCATTGGCACCAAGAGCCCCTCCATAAATCAAGGTCTCAATCTGCTGGCCTCAGACTGCTTTGTCCAAGGTGACCTCGGCAAAGTAAAAGGGTAGTCACTTACCTAGGAATGGCATCTGCCTTTGAGATGAAATAACCCTGAAAATGCCCAAGAGGACCAATTCTCTAGAAATACGTCCCTTGGAGAGAGAGGACACTCTTCCTTCATCTCAGAAGACAATTCAGCCAGGAGGAGTTAGAAGGAGAGTTACAGTGTTCCCATGATTTCAGCCAATATCGGTGGCCCCAAGAGGCCCCTTGGGGCAGACTTGGAGGAGTTCTATTCCAGTGCTGGGTCAGCCCCAGTGAAAAGTCAAGGTGACCTCAGCCCTGTCAACAATCATCCCCCCAAGCAGCTCCCCAAGGAAGCCACGTGAATCACAGAATCTTAAATTAGCTGGCCCACGACCCTGGTGGTAAAGTCAAGGAAACTATAAGCCAGAGATGGGGAGGGACTTGTCCAAGGTCACCAGCCTTGAGGGGAAGATTCGAGGGTAGACCCAGGGGACTAGGCTATTTCTCTTGGCCTCACTACACACCTTCTTCATGAGGCCACATGGCAATGTAGCCAGGTTCCAGCACAAGCCTCCAGGAACTTAGCCCCATCCAATTTTCCTGACCATCTTCAGTTCCCCAGTAGCATTTAAATGAGCTATGAGTGTAGAAACCAAAGACTATAAAAAGGTGCCCTTGGTACATCAAAAACAAGTGGGCAGAGATGGAAAAACAGGATTACTGAAAAACACTAGTACCTGCAAAGTTAACTACCTACATAAACGCCTGAGGTGACTTAGGAGACCAAGTGACTTGGAGGACTGAGGCCCCCAAGGTAATCAAGCCCCCAGAGTGAGACAGGCTCTGAGATGACCCATGGAAGCATCTAAAAAAAGCAACTGAGATGACTAAAGTGGAGACTCAGAAAGAAAAAAAAAAACTTGTACAACTCTCTTACAAGGCTGTTGTAGGGATTAAGTAAGATGTGGATCATAATGTTTGGCATACGGGAGGCGTTCAAACTAAGCCACCAAGGGTTGGGTTCTCTTCTCGCCCCAACTGTACAGAATGGAGCTTAGTGTATTGTAATTGTCACGCTACTTGCCTATTAGAGGCTAACTTCAGTGAAGGCAATATCTGAGCCTGGTTTGTCCACTCACTGTAGCATCCCAGCGCCTGGCACATAGCAGTGCTCCGTACATATTTTTGAATGAATGAATGAGTGGATGAATAAATGAATACCACCTTTGCCCGTCGTCATCTTTGAAATCCCCTCCGTTTATTCACCAAGCCTCCCCATTCGCCCAGGAATGAGGTGTTTCTGGACACGGGACTCGAAACTCTCAGTGCTGAAACCTCGACAGTCGTGGGCAAACCGCGGTGTCTGACAAATGTCTCACTAAAGCCACTAAGCGACAGAGCTGAGTGACACGACTGATAAATTTTCAAAAAGAAAGGGGTTAAAATCGGGACCAAACTCGGAAAGGATGGCTCCGCCCCTTCATGGTCTTAGCCCCACCCCTTCTTACACCCTCCCTCTCTGACTCCGCCTCCTTCTGGGAAGGTCACCTTAGAAACGCGGGAGGCCAACTGAGCATGCGCCGGGTCCTCCGCCACTGAGCACGCTTGCTTTTTGCTTTCCCTGCTTTCCCTCCTCCCACCCGGGAAACCGGAAGCCGCGTCTCACTCGGTGACTCCTAAGCGGCTAGCGGGTCTTGGGTATCCGCTGGCTCTGCGCCGCGGTGCTCGGCGGGACGCCGGCGGAGAGCGACCTCGGGGTTAAGGGGTGGCGCTGGACGTCAGAGCCAAAATGGCGGCGGTGGTCGGAGTCTCCTTGAGGCGACGTTTCCCGGCCACAGCCCTTGGCGGAGCCTGCCTGCAGGTGAGCTCCGGGGTCGCGGAGAGAGGGCAGGTATGAAGATCACGGAGACGGCCTGAAGCCATGGGGACCGTAGAGGAGCCTGAGGGAGTACAGGTCAAGGCCTCAGGGAGGGCGAGGACCGCTCCCCGCTGCGCAGTGCTTCGGCTTGGCCGGTAGCATCCCTGTCGTTTTCCTTCTGCGCTTTGCCGCAGCCTGGGAGTTGGTGAGGGCGAAGAGGACTTTTAGAAATCAGAAAAAAGAAAAAGAAGGTCAGGGGACTTGGATTGCCCAAGGTCACGTGGCAAGTGAGTGACTAGTGGAAGCAGAATTCGAATCCGAACATTTGGGCTCCGAGCCCTTTTGCTGTCACCAGACTGTCGCCTCTGGAAAAGACAGACCTGCGGGAGTGAGGGATAGGAACTGGGATGCGAGGTCGCTCATCCACAGTGCAAGGTTGAGGGCTCAGTAGAGAAGGACCGGGCTGGGATTGGTACGGAAAGGGCAGGTGAATTGTTGGGGACCGGGCAGGGGAAGGGAGAAATGGAGGAAAATCCATGCAGTTCCCTGAAGGATCTGGACCCTTACCCCAGCTGGAGGCTGCAGGATAGGCCGGCTTCCTTAACCCTTTTGCAGCGACGGTCGGATGCATCCAAATGAATATTTCCACCTGCCGACCGCGGATGGAAACTGCCAGAGAGGAAGTTTAGGAAAGCAGATGTACATTTTTCTATATTTTTGTGTTTTTCAAGCATGAATAACAATAGGAAATTTCTATATATAAAAATAATGCCATTTATATACAAAGCAGCTCAAATTATTAAATGCATAAAATAGTCAAAATATCAACTTTCTGTTTTGTGGATTTCTGACAGATTTTGGGGAAAAAAAACTTGAAATCAATTAACGCTGCGAAAAAGTTAAAGCAGTGTCATCCTCCCAATGTCCCTGTCTGTAAAGGATGTGTAGTAATACCGACCTCACAGAGTCTGGGCATGGATCACATAGGTACAGAGTTCGGTATAGCTCTTAGTTTTAGTATTCAGTGTGCAACGACAGGTCTCCCCAAAGTGCTTGTATTTTCAGGAAACTACGCACTTCTCATATGCATTCTAATTGGGAATATTTAGAAGGGGAAGGGAAACTGCCATTGCATACATGAGGGGCTAAGAATTGACAAATCCCTTTCAAGTCTGTTTCCGTATCTGGGGTCCTCAACAACCCCAGTGAGGTGAACTCCTAGAAATTCTTACGTCCTCTTTAGAGATTTGAAAACTGAGGACCCAGAAAGAAATTGTTTACTTGCTCAAAACATCATGGCCAAGCACTGGTAAATCTAGGACCTAAACCCAGTTTTTTTTTTAACATAATATGTGAAAAACTCCTAGCACAGATCTGGGCACATGGTAGGTGTACAAGAAGTATTAGTTCCTCTTCACTTTTGCACTTATGTGAGAATATCTCTCGTTTTAAAGTACCTGCTCTGGCTACATAACACAGTGCCTATGGCCTGTTTTCTAATGCTAGCTTTTTCCAATATGCTGTATATGAACTTGTTTGCGTCATGTTATAGTCTTTCTGAAAAGGGGAAATAGGGAAAGAGGACTGCCTACCAGAACCTCAAGCTGGCGTTTTCTGAGTGTTAAATTGATGGTTGGCAATGACCTGTTTGCCTGTTCCTTTTATAATGTCAAGCAAGCAATTAAGCTGTGAGCGCCCCACCGGTGAAAGCGAATTAGCGAATTCTAAAGTTCAGGTGCCTCTTCCAAGAATGAAGTGCAGAGAAAGCTAGTTTCAAAGGTCAGTGTTGTGATTCCGGGTGAGGCCATTGGAGGGCCTCCTAAGGGCAAACAAATAAAAGAGTCCCTCCCCCGTTCCCTTCAAAGGAATTACATTCATACCCCCAAAAGAATTCAACAGTGAGCTTGGTGTATTATACCTGTGGGTAGTATGTAGGTTCCTAGGACTCCAAGACACAGTAAGATTTGTCTTCTGAATTCTTTTTATGCGTTAATCTGCACCACTGAACCACAGTTCTGCTTGTAAGTATTTAACTGTAATGTATTAACTGTTGTTTGTGTTGCCTTATTCATCTAGACTATGAACTCCTTTAGGGCAAGTACCACCTACTTTCAGTTGTATATTTCATTGCTCCTACCCCTGGCAGGGCTTCGGATATCTGTCTGCCAATCAGAATAATACAAGAACTGATAATGTTGCCAATATGGAAAAGCAGAAATTATTTTCTGGGCTATGCTAAAAGCTTGGCCCTCCAGTTAAGCTTATGAGGTAGATTTTAATGCTCCCTACCCCTTTACAGAAGAGGAAATAGAATCAGAGAGGTTAAGTAATTTGCTAAAGAACACACAGCTAGAAAGTGGTAAAACTTGGATTTAAACCAATGCCACTCACACATTTCAAAAACAAGCCTTCACCTTCTGTTTGACTCAGGTTCATATCGACCTCTTGCCTTCCTCCTCTCCATTCCCACACCTCTCCTACCTTCAAATCTATATCTGCTTTATCTAGCGCCAAGCCTGCTCCTTAAGGAAGCTTTCCTAAAGGAATAACAAGCAGCCTGCAGCGTGATCCAGAATTCACCCTCCTCATCTTCAGTTCAGTTGTTGATTATCTTCCTTAAATTATAAACTACGAAGTTAATCTTATCCAAGATTTCCTAGAAAGGTACACTCAGCCTTGAAAACTCATTCATTTTGTAGCTTGAGGTAGAAATTCTTTTGAAGGACACTCCTCCATCGTGGTTTTGTAGTAAATTTCTGGACAGCCAACAAAGGAAAAACAACCTCAAAATTTTGCCCACCTCCCTGCTTTTACCCACATATTCTCCTTTTCTTCCTATTACTATGAGAGAATTGGCAGCACTCCTATGGCTAACCCTTCACTCGTCCTCTACATCCCATCACTTATTTAAAGGTAGCTTTCTAGGGGCGGCCTGTTAGCTCAGTTGGTTAGAGCGCAGTGCTCATAACACCAAGGTTGCCGGTTCAATCCCCACATGGGCCACTGAGCTGCTCCCTCCACAACTAGATTGAAACAACTACTTGACTTGGAGCTGATGGATCCTGGAAAAACACACTCCAATTAAAAAAAAAAAAAAGATAGATTTCTAATAATTCTTCCCTCTCCTCTGCATTATCAATTTGTCCTTCTCTGTCAGATCAGCAGCAGCAGTACACAAGCATGCTGTAATTTCTCCCATCTTTAAAAAACAAACAAAAAAAGCCATATCCACCTACCACCCCATTTCTCATCTTTATAGAAAAATTTCTCATGAGATGTCTAAACTCACTGTCCAAACTTCATCTCCTATTTTCTCTCGAAACCTATTCCTGTCAGGCTTTTCACCCTCCCTACGTCCTTGAAATTGCTCATTTTGTTGGTCGCCAGTGACCTTGACTTTGTTCAATCCAATGGTCACTGGTTCACTTCTTCCTCAAAACACTTTTTTCACCCGACTTCCAGGACAGCCCAGCCTCCAGATTTTCCTCCTCACACACTGGCTGTTTCCTTTTACTCATTTTTCATCACCCCAAACTCTATAAACATTGGGGCTCAGTTCTTAGTCCTCTTTTTTATATAAACTCCTTGGGTTTTAGATACCATGTACCTGTATATGATGACAACACCTAAAGTTTTGTCCCCAGCCCAGCCCTCACCCCAGATGTCCAGATTTAGATGGTTATCCAGTGACATTCTCAAAATCTCCACATGGATGTCTAATAATACATCATATTTATAAGTATGCCCAAAACCAAAATCCTAGCACTCCCCTGCCACACACACCAACTTCTTCCATCTCAGTTGATGGCTTGGGCCAAAAGCTTCGAAGTCATCTTTGCTCTTTGCCTCACTGTCACATCCAATCTCTGAGCAAGCCCTGTCAGTTCCTTCTCAGAATGTATTCAAAAACTATCCACTTCTCACCGTTTCCATAGCTACCAGCCTGGGTCAAGTCATCATCATCTCTTAGCTGATTACTACAGTTACTTTTTAATAAATTTTTTTTTATTTGGGGGGGGTATTAGTTTCAGGTGTACAAAAACAACATAGTGATTAGACATTTATATACCTCACAAAGTAATAACTCCAATAAGTC